GCATCGTAAAGACGACGCAGTATGACTACGGCGACCCCGGAAACTGTAAGACCTATTTGTCAAATGTTGAAGATGCGTGATCATATGTTTGTTGAGATGAAGCGCGTTCAAACGATGTGACTGAATATGCTCTGGGCCTATGATGTTGATTTCTTGAATGAAGCGGTCTACGCGTATTTCTATTCGATGAATGTGAAGGAATGATGGTGTGAATCACATTTATATTGTGTAGTAAGGCACGGGTTCCTTCTTTTGAAAGATGCAGACCTCCTCCATTCAGGCTCCTCTCCCTCTCCACTATGTTCCCATTGCGAAGTTTGAATGCTTCGTCGTTGTCGAGAAGTTTACAGTTCTCCGTTGAATTAACGAGATTTATTATGTTCTTCATATTGAACGTTTCAACACGTTTTTGATGCTCGGGGTTGTCTACACGGGGACATACTGTAGATAAAACTAGATTTGCTTCTGGGATTCGGCACCTAAGACTGTTAATCATTTCGTTATAATGATTAATTCTTAGTTCCATTTGATCATTATTGTTGCAATCATTAGTACCAACATGTATAATAATTGTGCTGAAATCTTCGACGTTTTTAAGTTTGTTAAGTTTAGCTCCACGCATTCAGATTACCTTGGTTCGTTGTAGACCATTCTCTCTTATGTCCCGAATAATAGAGTCGCCAATCAGTAGGGTAGTGTCGTAATTACTTGGCGATATTAGATTATCCAAATTTGTGTGCGGCATAATCGGCTTATACGAAACTGATAGCGGCCCCTTTGGTAAGTTGGTCGATGTTGTGCATTGTGTATTTTCATTGTTATTCGTACCACTCGTACTATTACATAAATTATTGTTCCAAGATGATTGTAGTCGAACAATTATATCCTTTTGTTCCTTAATTTGTAGCGAAAGTGAGTGATTTAACTTCCTCAAATTTGTGACTTCTTCCTCTAGCTGCGATGTTTTCTCATTTAGTTTGTTAAAGTTTTTAGGAATATCCTTACAAGAAGGGCAAATCCATACTCTGGGATTGGCCTTTGTACTGAGATCAACGCACAATCTGTGATACCCTTCTTGGCACAAACACATTCAAAAGACTTTCCCTTTTCTAAGTGTTCGAATTTACAGGTTGCCGTACACTTAATTCTAGTTGCAGAAATAGAAGAAAGTGATGTTCCTTGCTGTTGGCTAGCAGGAATGTTGCTTGGTATTAAAGAAAGAGAACTACTAATAAAGTTCTTCACTTTGCTTTGAATTATCAATGCATGATTCGTGATCTCTGTTTTGTCCGAATCCTCGGGAAGTAGTGCTGTCATTGATGAACGTATTTTATGTACTAATTCGTTGTGGTTAATCTTCGCTAGGTCTTCATGATTGAGAAGTTTTATTTGTGACATTTTCGAGTATACATGCGAAAGCATCATCGACAGTTAAACAAGACTTACAGTCATTCATGATGATTATTGTAATTCTGAACTGTATTAATTGTGCAAAGGCCTTAACGGATCGGAATAATCACAAATTAAATACAGTAATAGGCCTATTCGTAATTATTAACGTGTTCACCAGTGTTCTGGAAATTCGTATTCACTATACTGCTGTAGTTAAAGTATAGACATAATAAAACCTAAGGCCAAGACAAAGGCTGGACAGTAAGGTCCAATAAACAGATCACAGTGCCTTTTGTTTGAGAACCGCTTGGCTTGGTTAAAGCTTGTCCTGTTGTAGCGGGACTAGCAAAAAATCCAAAAGAGTTCAGATGAATAATGACAAATATCTCAAAGATAAAAGGTCAAAGTGTCTTTTAAACTACATACCAATAGGTGATCCAAAGTCCATTAGAAACTAACTTCTTGTGAAATAGTAATTCTCGTTAATAATTTAATTAACTTTAAAGCGAATTCATTAGGGAACTTTCATGATGCCACACGCACGCTTTGTAGGTTTTTCTCCAAAATGTATTATTTTATTTACATTTTTACCGTTATAGAAGATTTACTGTTAATGTATGTCTATTTTTATTAAAATATACCGTCTACAGCCTAATTAAATCTATATTATTTATAGCAACCGATAATGTGTCCCGGTTGGGCCAATTTTATAAAATACAGGGCTCTTTCTGGTTTGGTTTTTATCGTACCGTGCTGAGTTTTACTTTGGTACACGCGCAAAATTTCTTGCTCAAACTTGCTCAAAACAAAATTACCTTAAAACTACGAAAAGCATATGAACTATCATTTTGAAATATTCTCCATGATCATACAGTATGTTTATTGGTATCAATAAATGTAGATAATGTCTACAGCCAATTAACTCTATTATGTTGATAACCAATAATGTGTTCTCGGGCCTATTCATATTAAATACAAGGCTCTTCTCTCTCCGAGCGCGTTCCTCTTTGGTTTTGACTGTACCGGTACCACTAAATTTTGGTCACCCTTCTGGTGCCTATGGCAACGGGCTAGATTCTTGTAACCTTCTCTGAATTTCGGAATACGCCACCAATATATAATCGGATTTAGTGCTGAATTAAGCATCAGAAGCGGTAACATAATTGCGGATATTTCTCCCGCCAACTCCAGCGTTACCCAGCCATATATATAACATATCATTATTAATTGTATTGGTAATAAACAAATGATCAGTGAACACACTAAAATCTTAAATGTAAAGAAGAGCGACCGCAATCGGGCCTGTCGAGCAGCTCCAGAGATACCCCCAACTTCGTGTCTATTGGATTTGCGTTTCAAAATAACGAAAATTAAAATATACACGAGTACCACGCTAAGCGTCAATGCAAAATGTAGGCTTATGTATATATACACGAACCCGCGATTGAAAATAGCAGGTAATGCAAGTAAAAAAACCGGTAATAACCACAGTAATATTGATATGATGGTTAATCTACATTTACTTATAATCTGACCATATCTAACTGGAGCAGCGACAGCTAAGAAGCGTTCCAAACTTGCAGCAAGAACAAAAAGTATAGACCAAAACATTATGGTCAACGTTGAACCTAAAACAATTGCAAAGTCAGTGTAATCGGTAGTTGGTAGGATCAGAACTATAATAAGGATAAGCCCGGAAAGTCCAGATGTTTTAGTAATTATAGCTAGTTGAGGAATGATTAATTATCACCTCAGGCTTGAGTTATCCGGTTTTCGAAAGTTCGTAAACGGGCCCATAGTCGCTCAGCCTATCGGCGACAGTCACCGACGGCTGTTGGCAAGGTTGAATCTGGTTCAACTTTGCAGATTGCGTTTCAGACGAATCAGGATGCTAGCTGCCCAGACGCAGTCAGGAAGGCACCCCGATTCGTCTGCAAACGCAATCGGCAAAGTTGCACCTGGTTATCCTGACACCTGTCGGCGACAGTCGCCGGTCGGGTGAGCGATTCTAAGTGGTGGATCCAGGGGGTAGCGAAAAGGACGTACATCCCACTCCTTCCTAGCTAGACCAGCCAATTACTACGAAAGCCCATTAGTGCCAATTAAGTAGTAATCCGTTCGTACGGATTATTAATCCGTACTATAATCCGTACAAACTAATTAGTAATCCGTACAAACTAATTAGTAATCTGTACGAACGAATTAGTACCGCAACACTTTCCAACGAATTGTAATCCGTACAAACGAATTAGTAATAAGTACGAACGAATTAGCAATCTGTACAAACGGATTAGAAATCCGTACAAATTAATTAGTAATCCCACAAACGGGTTAGTAACTGTCTCTTATACACATCTAGATGTGTATAAGAGACAGGCAAAGGCCTTAACGGATCGGAATAATCACAAATTAAATACAGTAATAGGCCTATTCGTAATTATTAACGTGTTCACCAGTGTTCTGGAAATTCGTATTCACTATACTGCTGTAGTTAAAGTATAGACATAATAAAACCTAAGGCCAAGACAAAGGCTGGACAGTAAGGTCCAATAAACAGATCACAGTGCCTTTTGTTTGAGAACCGCTTGGCTTGGTTAAAGCTTGTCCTGTTGTAGCGGGACTAGCAAAAAATCCAAAAGAGTTCAGATGAATAATGACAAATATCTCAAAGATAAAAGGTCAAAGTGTCTTTTAAACTACATACCAATAGGTGATCCAAAGTCCATTAGAAACTAACTTCTTGTGAAATAGTAATTCTCGTTAATAATTTAATTAACTTTAAAGCGAATTCATTAGGGAACTTTCATGATGCCACACGCACGCTTTGTAGGTTTTTCTCCAAAATGTATTATTTTATTTACATTTTTACCGTTATAGAAGATTTACTGTTAATGTATGTCTATTTTTATTAAAATATACCGTCTACAGCCTAATTAAATCTATATTATTTATAGCAACCGATAATGTGTCCCGGTTGGGCCAATTTTATAAAATACAGGGCTCTTTCTGGTTTGGTTTTTATCGTACCGTGCTGAGTTTTACTTTGGTACACGCGCAAAATTTCTTGCTCAAACTTGCTCAAAACAAAATTACCTTAAAACTACGAAAAGCATATGAACTATCATTTTGAAATATTCTCCATGATCATACAGTATGTTTATTGGTATCAATAAATGTAGATAATGTCTACAGCCTTAACTCTATTATATTGATAACCAATAATGTGTTCTCGGGCTTATTCATATAAAATACAAGGCTCTTCTCTCTCTGGGCGTTCCTCTTTGGTTTTGACTGTACCAGTACCGCTTTGAATTTTACTTTTGTCATCCTTCTGGTGCCTATGGCAACGTGCTAGATTCTTGTAACCTTCTCTGAATTTCGGAATACGCCACCAATATATAATCGGATTTAGTGCTGAATTAAGCATCAGAAACGGTAACATAATTGCGGATATTTTTCCCGCAAACTCCGGCGATCCCAAGCGATGTATATAACATATCATTATTAATTGTATTGGTAATAAACAAATGATCAGTGAACACACTAAAATCCCAAATGTAACGAAGAGCGACCGAAATCGGGCCTGACGAGCAGCTCCAGAGATACCCCCAACTTCGTGTCTATTGGATTTGCGTTTCAAAATAACGAAAATTAAAATATACACGAGTACCACGCTAAGCGTCATTGCAAAATGTATGTATATATACACGAACTGGCAATTGAAAATAGCAGGTAATGCAATTAAAAAAACCGGTAATAACCACAGTAATATTGATATGATAGCTAATCTACATTTACTTATAATCTGACCATATCTAACTGGAGCAGCGACAGCTAAGATGCGTTCCAAACTCGCAGCAAGAACAAAAATTAAAGACCAAAACATTATCATCAACGTTGTAGCTAAAATACTATTTGCATACGGAATGTAATCGGTAGTTGATAGGACCAGAACCATAATAGTGAAGTTAAGACACCCACTTATCAAATCGACGACTGCAAGATTAACTATCAAAACACTTGACTTTTTCCTTAGGTTCGGGATGCAACAGACAGTGAAGATTACGAACGCGTTTTCAAAAATGGCTGCAACGCAAATTATTATCGTTAAATAGGCACTAGCCATTCCGGCTGTGACGAAGTTTGTATTTGAATAAAGGTAACCATACAATTTGAAAGAACTACAATGAGTGTTTATATCCGTCATGTCGGTGTCATTCATGTTATATTTTTTGTGCGTCAATCAGATGAGCAAACAAACTTGTTTAATTTAAATGTTCTCAGACAGCAATTGATATACTGTTTGGTGAAGTTGATTCTAGTATCGAATATGTCTTGGAAGGTAGAGGTACTTGCTAAAACAGATGACAAAACACAAGAATTCTGTATAAGAAAGACGTTGTTTGTTAAAATGAATTTATGTTATTTCGACATACATCGACTACAGTACTATAAAGCTCGGTTTCCATAAAATCGCTCAGCCTATCGGCGACAGTCGCCGACGTCTGTCGGCTAGGTTGAATCTGGTTAAACTTTGCAGATTGCGTTGCAGACGATTCAGGATGCATTGCTAGCTGCCCGGACGCAGTCAGGAAGGCACCCCGATTCGTCTGCCAACGCAATCGGCAAAGTTGGACCAGGTTCAACCTCCTGACACCTGTCGGCGACTGTCGCCGGTCGGGTGAGCGATTCTAAGTGGTGGATCCATGGGGTAGCGAAAAGGACGTACATCCCACTCCTTCCTAGCTAGACCAGCCAATTACTACGAAAGCCCATTAGTGCCAATTAAGTAGTAATCCGTTCGTACGGATTATTAATCCGTACTATAATCCGTACAAACTAATTAGTAATCCGTACAAACTAATTAGTAATCTGTACGAACGAATTAGTACCGCAACACTTTCCAACGAATTGTAATCCGTACAAACGAATTAGTAATAAGTACGAACGAATTAGCAATCTGTACAAACGGATTAGAAATCCGTACAAATTAATTAGTAATCCCACAAACGGGTTAGTAATCAGTAAGAACGAATTAATAACCGAACGCATTGTAATCCGTACAAACGAATTAGTAATCAGTACGAACGAATTAAGTACAAACGGATTAGCATTCCGTACAAACGAATTGCAATAATAACGAATTATCATTGGTCTCAGGAAGCTTGGGTGGTGGAGAGGGGGGCATACAGAACGGCTTACAAAATCAGATGTTCTCCCAACCCACTATACAGAGAGAAAATACTGGGATTATCACACATTAATTAACATCTTTAAGCACTAATTACAGTAATATATTGTTATTAACATCATGTAATGAAGAATAGTTATAAAACCGAATAGGTTAACATTTCGAAGTTTTGTTTATCTACTGTTTTCATATTATAAAGAAATAATAAATTATATAATGAAGAATAAACTAATGAACAAATACTAACGAAGAATTCATTGAATAATAAATACAAGAGGAATTAAGTTTAATGAGTAAGAATCATTTTAACTGGTATGTTTTATAATATACAACCAACTGTTTACAGCCTTCAAAGGAAATACAGTATGACTATACCATAAAGAAAATAGAACTATTTTCTCAATGCCTATACTTACCTTTTGTGCCCGATTTGTTCATAACGCTCCTACAAAAGGGACTCAAGCGTATATCTCAAATGCTCGGACCTCAGCTGGAAACCCCTGCAAATTGAAAGATTGAAGATACATAGGCTAGCTACACTATTCAAAATTAGGAATGGTCAACTGAATGTGGATCATAAAATTCTACGTAAGAAAAGAGAGAAACAACATGTTGACCACGAGAGGACACTTTGAAGCACTACGCTAAAAAAGAGGAATTCACAAACTCCTTTTTTTTTTTTTTTTATTAAAACTTCAGTTGAATGGAACATACTGCTTCAAATCACAGTTGATCAGCCAAACGTCGTAACCTTTACGACATCACTACATAAGACCCAAAATTGTCTGAGTAGCGTACACTTCAACATTACGAGCCCGTGGTCTGCCTCTTGATTGGTATATTGGTACGGACATTCTGTATGATAATGAATGATCAATAATATTTGGCAATTCAGAATTTAAGTTTTACTATGAACCACTAAATTAAATTAAATATAGTCACACCGGACATTTTCGCTAAATTGTAGTGTGAAGGTGAAATTACCTCTCCATCAATCATTGATGATTATAATCCATAATAAATTTTAATATTTTGCAACAGTTACACGGAAACGCACCGTTGCTCTATTCAACACCACCCAGTTTTGCCTATCCTTCCTCGTCGACCTTTTAAAGTCAGGCTCCGGAGGAAAAAAAAATTTTGATATGTTGTACAACTGATTTTTCTAAGACAGAAAAAAGTTGTTTGACGAAAAACTGAGCAAAGGTGAATGAGATACAGATTTTTTAATATTTAAAAACTGGGGGGAAAAAGGTGTAAAAATGGGCGGTTACGCCGCTTTTTCCCCCAGTTTTTAAAAATTCAAAAATCTGTAGCTCGTTTACCGTTCCCCAGTTTTTCGTCAAACAACTTTTTTCTGTCTTGGAAAAATCAGTTCTACAACATATCAAAAAATTGTTTTCCTCCGGAGTCTGACTTTAACTAATGTTCAACAATGCCTTTAAATCCCATGACAGTACAAACTGCAGTTTACATCAGATTCTCAATTTTGTTGTGACAGGAGATTGACCCCGTAAATCAAACACATTTTGTTGATTAGGCCTATTTTACTTGTACACTGTACATAATAAGACGACTACTGACGTTGATAAACTTGATTAATGACTTTGGTTTTGAAATATTATGTGATTCAAATATTTGCATATTATACTGAAAAATAATGTATGTAATTGGCACTACTAGGGACTATGTAGTCAAAACGGCGGCATTATCAGTGAAATTTAGTAAAACTGAAAAAGTGCACCGGTGGATGGTGCTTGATATGGGTACGCGGAAACGCAATGTTGGACTGTATGCAACATCACCCAGTTTATATCCTTTATCTGTTGAGTTCAATCAATGCATTTCAATCCATTAACTCTACACATACAACTGTTTATTCGATTCTTATTTGTTTTCTTTCCTTGGTGGGTCGGTTACTTGCGTCAAACTTATTGATGTTATAAATTTAGGTGTGGAAATATAACTATTTTCTACGGTGGTGCTTGCCGTACCAACACTACGGAACTCGCGGTCGTCTGTGTCTTGTTTTGTAATTGGAAATCGCCACGTTGAAGCCATTTTCAGAAACCCTAAACAATCGGTTAATTCTAGAAAAAAGCCCGTGTTAATACACCTGTGTTTTAATGGTTTTAAAGAAACTAAGTTAGGTGGTCTAAATTAAATATAGTACCAGGACCCGTTTAACCACGCGTCGATAGGCTGGAAAATTACCTACGCGGATCCGAATAATTGACGTAAACACAGAATATACACAATCTTTCAAAATGATGTTCCTTAATTTATTGTATTTTAACGTACTGTTTTACCCTAACATCGTAATTTTCTCGCCTCCTTCCTTGGAGGTGTCGTTTTCGCTTACTCTACCTCTAAAACGCTCCCAGATTTCACTACCAAATGTGGCTTTCCTCGCAAAGCCGATGCTCGTGTGATTGTGAATTTCTTACCTATCAGGTCCAATACGGCTTGAAGTGTTAAGGCAAGCCTGCTTATGACTGATGCTGCGCCTATTAAACTGCGGTGGTGGACCAGTCACCAATCAATTTGATGTAGACAAGATTCTTTTCCGGTTATATGATCCCTGCAAAGGGTAGCCTACTGTACCAAGAAATAGATCTAAGTTAGGAACTGAAAATTTAATTCAAAAGGAAGTTATAAAGAATAGAAAAATAATTGATTAAAATAATAATAACATACGGGGTGACTGCTTTCATACCTTGTTTCGCGAAATAATTGTTAAGATAGTCAGAGGAGGGTGGAAAATATTTAACAAAATTGTTTCTTATTTGCCAAAAACACCAGACGGAAGAGAAAATAAGATGAACTTTTATTGGTAAAATAATGGGATATTTTAACATTTTCTACACCTCCTGTTAAACCGTACTCCTACACTTTGGGAGTCCTTGGGAGATCAGCTTTACCTACCAAAACCATGAATAATTCACAAAATTGTCTGCGCTCAGCTCTTGAAAATTGGTCTCGGGTAGCTTGTGGGTTGGGGGATATACACAAAGGTATTCCCAACCCACTGTTGTTTAAACAGAGAGAAAATACTGGGATAACCACAAATTAGATAACATCTTGCAGCACTGATTATTTATGTATTGTTATTATCATTATGCAATGAAGAATAGTTTTAATAATTGATTACGAAGTTGTTATAGGCCTATACTAAGAATTTCGAATTTTTTTTCTTATAAAGAAATAATAAATTATTTTAATGAAGAATAGACTAGGAATAAATATTAAATTAAGAATTCAGTGAATAAGAAATATTAGAAACAATTAAGTTTGTCGTGAGCAAGAATTCTTTTACTTTTGACTGGTATGTTTATCATTTACAACCAAATTAATGTTTACAACCTTCAAAATTAAAAAAAGAAACAAGGCTTTACTCACCTTTGGTATCCTAGTATCTGGCGTTAATGCACTTGTGCTTTCTCAGGTTGTCTGAAGTGGATTCGATGGGACCAGTTTTACTTTAAAAATGCAATGCGTAAAATATTGGTTCTATTAAAAGGCAAACAAAATTTGAGTTGCTTTGCAACACAAAACCAAAAAAAAAAAAAATGTAAATTTTCAATGGACTAAAAAACAGACAGAAAAGAAAAAAAAATAAGGAAAGAACGGAAATGGAGAAAATGCACGGATGTCTGGTCTGACATTTCTCAACACCGCCTCTACTGGATAATAAAGAACAAAGGGGATTTGCAGAAAATCGAAACTTACTTGGAGCAGGCAATCGTGTTGTCCATACCCAGTACCGCCTGATTATAAATTGAATGGAAATTTACCGATAGATAAAAAATAAATATGTAGAGTTGGAAGTAAGCTGACCCGTAAACGACGTCGAGCCTCACCTGTAACAACTTTGTACAATGATTCATTATGCAACTTTCGTTGAATTTGTATGCAAAGCAAGCAATGGAATCGAAATTATTATTTTCTTAATTGTTATATTAGTATGCCAAAATTGGTTTATAATGTTCATTTTTTGATCATTATTACGGAAATGCTTATATTATAGATAAATTTAATGACATGTGTTCGCTTATGTGTCTCGGTTTATTATATTTCATCAATCGTGCGACAGGTTTATTCTTATTGGTTCAGCTCGGGTTAACACACTAATCAGTGGCGGCGCCAGCGTCTGAAATCTGGAAGGGGGAAGTGAGGGGAAGGTAACATTTTAGGGGTGTAGTTTTTTCCATAGCAGACCGGAATACAATCATAATTTATAAAGTCACAGCATTAACGGGTAACGTTTCTAAT